ACATGTATTCGTCACGATAAGATCGGTCGTGCGAATCTGTGTGTAGTATTTTCGTTGCGTCGACCAAGGGAACCGGCTGACCATTGTAAATTTATCAGTCTTGCCGCGGGAAAAAAATATCAACACGTTTTCAAGATCTCAGGATGATCAATTATCTACAAGGCAACCAAGCAAAGGGCGATTATGTTGGTTTGCATGGGAGCACGATCTGATAGAGTACCAACGCTGCCTGATAGCATGGAGGCTTCTACTTCTACTTGAGAAGAAAAGCATGCCGAAGCCTACGCCCCCACTGCCGACAGAATCCCGTGATTTGCTGACGTGCGTGTGTGTGCTTGGGCTTTGTCGGATAGGAAAAAATACAACCCGAGCCGGTCCGTACTGTTTGTGCACCCGGTCAATGTTCTTGGCAGTGCTTTTCGGAGAGAGTCATCTACATTCCGCCCTCGTTTTTGATTCAGTCTATCGACGCAAGCTTGGAGGAAACTGTCGTAACGGTCAACATGGCCAGGCTTACGTCCAGGACAAATAAACGTGCCTGTGCAGGGTGAGGTCTCTGCTCTGTGTCTTTCTCTCTAGTTGAAAATATCAGGTCTCTTGTCCGGAATTTCGTAGGTTGCATCACCCGTGTCTGGGGTTTTCACGACGTTGTCGGAAAGAAAAGTGTTGAATGTACGTAGGCCCCGTACAAATAACACTTGCACGATATTCCCAAGATATCATATGTTCATCATGGCCTTGAAAACTACCAACATCACACGACGATTTTCACCTAGGAAGTTCCTCGTCTTGCAAGACCCTCCATATCTTTCGGCAATGTTCGCCGGCGCTGTCCATCTCGCCACCGAACGCGAAATCTGTACAATTCAAACGAATACAATATTCGTGTACAATTCGAAGACAACTTTCCCCACAGTTACCAAACGCGGGACTGCCGAAAGACATCTCTTGGCACACCCCCTCTTGAACACCTCTAGCTTCAAACGTGCAATTCATTGAGAGGCGGGTGTGATCATCACAACGCGAAATCAGTGATGATATCAGGGGGTTTGATTCAGGTCAAACAATCATGCCCCAATACGGTGTCTGACATCGGGGCACTTACACCCGTTGCAGTCGATCCAGGCGGGTTCCTTCACGCTCGTGCTTTCCTCACCACGCGCCTCGCGTCGGCCTTTGAATGCCCACCACGTGCTTGCGATGGTTGGATCCTTGCATGCGAGGGTTTTCCGGTCGGATCAAAGAGTCGAGTCAAACGCCGGGTTGACTGAACGTGCAAGGGAATGATCTACTTTGCCCGGTGGCGTTGATACCTTGTAAGATTCAGACAGCTTGCTAGACATTTCGGGGTTCAGATCACATAGTTCCGAACTTTCATCCTTGCTCCTCACTGGACTGTCCATGCTGACGGAGTACAGTAGTGTTGAAGGAAGAATGACTGAGGAGGTCTGCTAATGTTCCAGAATCGAGCCTCTTTGCTGGGTGCAAAGACCATGGGTAATAAAGCTGCATGGAATTTGATACGAAAAGGTTCAACAGCGAAACTTCACGCCGTTTTCAGGAGTTGGACTTGGAAACTTTGCACACATGTACTGTGGGTCAACACGACATGCTGTGTGGAGTACATTTTTTCTCCTGCCACCGGATGTTCGGGGTCCTGGATATTTCGGGATCGTTTGCATCTCCTAGGACCCCGAACACGACCGCAATTAACAGACGACCATGGAATAAAACTCACTACGCCCCTTCGCACCGCGTTTCAAACCAACCCGGTGTACATGTGTGCAACGTTTCAAGGTCTGACTCCCGAAGATGGTGTGCAGCTTTTGCGCCATAAAGTATTTCCAATCCTGATTTTCCCAAAGTACTTGAAAAAGTCAGAAACGGCGAAATTCACGTCCATTTGACGCCCAAACGACCACATTACTTCAGTTTGTTTCATCGGTTCATGAATATTCATACATACGTTCTTCGGAGTATGTACCTATCGTTGGGACGGTTGTTTAGGGTCACACAACAGAGGCTTCCTCCAACGAAGTTTGGCCTACCGACGGCAAGGCTTGAATCGACCATACTACGACCGCATTTGGCCGGTTTATGGAATAGGTTGACTAAACTCCACGCGGAGCTTCATTGCTCTGTACCGGTGTCGTTGGTTCGAGAAATATTCACAAACAGCCGTGTTACCTACTTGAATCGACGGAAGCACCGACTGTGATGCCCCACAGCGATCAAATGATTACATTTTCAGCGCAACTTGTGCTACCTTCACAGGGCGTTACAATACTGTTGATTCAAGAACATGCGAACATGAATGGACCGGTTTGCTGAGGGTCATACGACACCGAACGAACATCGTACCGAGACGGGCTATCCAGATCGACAGACATGTATGAAAATGCACCCAGTCCATCACTCCACAAAATAATTCAACCATAATCTGTGCAACCAATGCATTGGGCTGAAGAAATTGTTCCAAAATAACCAAAATCATATCAACCGGTTATCCGGGGTCCTGGCGTACAGAAATTCCCAGATCGCACCGTCAACTACCCCGGTGTCCCCTCCCTGTGTCCAACCAAACCGTGCTTTGCGCCATCCGGTTCCTAGGTCATGTCCAAGATGTTTCGGTGTGTCTTGCACGAGGCCACCATCCTCCCAGTGAGATGAGACCCCTCCGCCCCACCGTGCGCTGTCCGCACTGAGCCCAGTTAAGCGTGTGTGCGTCGGTAGTCCCTGGTACTCTGCGCAAAACCTACAAATACGGGTATGGGTGAGAATCGTTTCCTCCGTGCTCAACGTCTCCAGCATGTCGTTACGTTTACGCCGAAACTCTAACTTGGCCAAACCTCAAGCGTGCTCGATGCCTCCTCCTGCCAGCTGTGGGTGGCATTTTGTTGACATGATCAGGACATGCCCACGGCTCTCTAAGAGGTGCAGTAGCGTAGACTTCTCGTGCTTGAAATCAGAGAACTCTCCCAATCTCATAGAAGCGTTCTCGTCAGAGCTACGATCCGCCTTGCCCACTGTTGCATCTTCCCGCAGCCCCGACTCCAACAACATTTGTCTGACGAACCTCTTTCGGTTTTTACCCTCGTGCCCGATAATGGGTTGATTTACGGTAGGGTAAGGGTAAGGGTTACGTCCTGCTCTTTCCCTTGCCACCCGTAACAATTTTTACTTGTCGTAGTCCAGAGTCGTAATCCCCGGACTTTCTTCAGGGCGGCGCGGCCGTGGGTTGTGCAATAGGCATTGACACGCCAATCTCCTCGCTCGTCATGCCAGATCCAACCCCTCGAATCTCCTCTTGAAACCCTGAGACCGTGATTTCTGGACCCTCTGCTTTCTTCCTGGGCCACGCACCCCTCCAATGACCCACTCCTATCCCTGCCGAAGTTATGCCTTCAACATACACTCGTCCTGCCCTATATGCCACGCACCCAAATAACACTTGCAGACGCCTTCCTCGTGATTGACGCGACACGAAGATTCCGCTTAAACCTCAAAACGCAAGTTTGTTGAAGTTCCCGCCATAATTTGATTTCAAACGCACCACATCAATCGCACCCTCGTCGGTAGACATCCCCTTGCCCTCGGAATCGCCCGCCCTTTCAAGCCTGGCCACGTGAGTTCCATGAATTTCTTCCCGTTGCGGCTGTACGCATATTCAACCATACCTCGCAGGGCAGACATTTATTCTCGATGGCCTCCTTACCGCCCTTGCTCAAGTCTTCGTGTGGCATCTGCACTCAAACAGGCTGCCAATAGGAAAGCCGCTGTAGTTCCACCACGTACAGCAGGCTCGAAGCTACTACATCTGGTTTTGTTGTGCCCGTCGGTATATTCCGTCTGAGCGGCCCGGTCGAAGTTGTAGTCAGCCATTCTCATCCACAAATGCACCAAGGCCCACGAAACGGGCGTGGGGATGCCGTAGATGTCCTTCATCTTGGCAGCGCCTATGTTGGTGTGAGCTTTTGTGAGAAGGATGTTCAAGTAGTCGACGACCTTCGATACGGTGACGAACTTCTTCGTCTTCAACTATTTATTCAGCAGCAGCGTGTGCAAGATGTCGTCCACACGCAGCACCCACTCCTTGCACCCGGCACCTCGCTCGTCAAACTTGAAGTAGTCGTGATTCTTGATACTCATTGTACCACCTGAGCACGGTCTCCGCCGTGGCATTGCCATGGAATGTTCGTGAAAAACTTTCCTCAGTTTCTCGAGCACTCTCACTGGCACATCGCCGGCCTCGTCACCACCGAACATTTCAGTGGCGACCAGCGCCTGCCTACCTGCTTGTGTCTGTCCTCTGTACCGCTGCGGTCGAATCTCGAGGAACTTCACCGTCGCTCACACGAAAAAGGTGGTAAGCGGAAAACTCGTTCATGGCCGTCTGCTTTGCTTCTTTTGCGGTAAGGACGGCGACGGCAGCCGCCTTAATAGCGGCGGCAGAGTCCCCATTACCCAATCTTCTCATGCTTAAGCCTGACTGCTGTTCAAACCCAACGGTGGCGCCGCTAGCGATGTCCTGGTGCAATGACGCCGTAGNGCGTGGGGATGCCGTAGATGTCCTTCATCTTGGCAGCGCCTATGTTCGTGTGAGCTTTTGTGAGAAGGATGTTCAAGTAGTCGACGACCTTCGATACGGTGACGAACTTCTTCGTCTTCAACTATTTGTACAGCAGCAGCGTGTGCAAGATGTCGTCCACACCAAGCACCCACTCCTTGCACCCGGCACCTCGCTCGTCAAACTTGAAGTAGCGGTGATTCTTGATACTCATTGTACCACCTGAGCACGGTCTCCGCCGTGGAATTGCCATGGAATGTTCGTGAAAAACTTTCCGCAGTTTCTCGAGCACTCTCACTGGCACATCGCCGGCCTCGTCACCACCGAACATTTCAGTGGCGACCAGCGCCTGCCTACCTGCTTGTGTCTGTCCTCTGTACCGCTGCGGTCGAATCTCGAGGAACTTCACCGTCGCTCACACGGAAAAGGTGGTAAGCGGAAAACTCGTTCATGGCCGTCTGCTTTGCTACTTTTGCGGTAACGACGGCGACGGCAGCCGCCTTGATAGCGGCGGCAGAGACCCCATTACCCAATCTTCTCATGCTTTAGCCTGACTGCTGTCCAAACCCAACGGTGGCGCCGCTAGCGATGTCCTGGTGCAATGACGCCGTAGAATCGGCGACAACAGCCATCTCGTTTGAAATCATGAGGGAAGTCAAGGCCTCCTTCCAGGCGGCGGCAGCAGCCAATGCTCGTCAATTGCAACAGCCTCCCGGCCGCATTCTGCAACCCGCCGCTCCTCGTACCTCCTCCGTTGCTCTGATTTGCGATCGCGCTTAACAGGCCCAAGCGCCCGCCACCCGAATTCGTTGCTATGCAGTCCGCCGCAGTGTAAGCGCATCAGGACTTTGGCCTCCCGTTGCACCCTGCTCAAACCTGTAGCGCGGTCCGCCGGTTTTTGGAAGGCACACTTCCTGGCGACTTCGCAGTGCGGCGCCGTGCCTGAACACCGGCGGAGGGTACTGTGAACGGAGGACAGCAGAAAGATACGGTGGTATGGCTGATAATTAAATTGTAGGATACATGTACGTCAATCGAAGCGTACATACAAGGACTGTATCGTGGCAAACAAAACAAGAACGTGACTAGACGACCTTCACCGGAAGCCCGTTATAAAAGATGGAAAGCAACCCGTATATGTCGTTTCGTTTTCTCTGCAAAACACACAGCCTCCCGTCGTGCAGTACGACAACCCCTTCTAGCCTTTCAAGTTGGTTCCTGCGTTTATATGTAGGTGCAGCATCCCCGCGAGTTGTACAAGGTTGCTGCTGACGCGACTCGTACATGCTGCGCACCTTGTTTAAGAGACGGGTTGCACATACAAATTCGGGCCCGACTTGTGCATGTTGCACTTCCTGTGTATGTTCTTGCTGCCGCTGTATGCACTGCTGTGATACGCAATTATATCAGACAGTTTGTAGACCAAAGTCCGGACCTGGCTTGAAACGAACACAACACGAGCTCAACGGATGGAAGATATTCTACGTACGATATGGCTACTGACACCCGACGGATACAACCAACAGGGTTTTCGCACGATTGAGAGCGAAGTTTCCGATTGAGAGCGAGAATCAAAACAATTCGAAATTCGGGTCCAGACGCCTGCCTCCCGTCATTTCTCGGGAAGCAAGGGACGGGCTCTTCCAAAAAGCGGCACAAATTGAAGCTCTCTTCAGCAGCTTCGCGTGCATATGCGTGTCACTGCGATCGGCTGCAGCAGCGAGGAGCTACGCACGTTGCTAGATTTCCCCAGGTGAGCTATTCCTGCCCGAAACTGTTTCAGGGCGCCGTCGCCTGGCGCGGTAGGCCCTCCCGTAGCTTCTGCTCCGCGGTGTAGCTCTACAACGCGAGACACCCGCAGAATGACCCGGGTATCGGCCTGTAGCTATGGGCAAGCCCTTCAATTCAAGCCGCACAGCAAGCTCTACCTCTCAGCAGTAGATAAGCTACATCGTATCGCACGATCTCGATCTCAATCAGCTACTTCGCTCTCAATCGTGCGAATATGTTGTTAACCCGACCCAAAACGACCCAAAATGACAGAAAACCCGAGTCAATCACAATGTGACATGAAAGCGAACGTCTTGACGTCTGTTTGCAACAGTATGCTTTGGTCCCTCTTTTCGAGTTAACCCTGAATACTATGCGTCTACGTAGAATATGGAGGTAAGTAAAGGCTTCCCCGTCCATTGAAGCCCGACTGACACACGACGTGAACGGAACACGAACGGGGACATTGATGATGCAGAGCTGGACAAAGTTGACTGTATTCTATGTCTACGAGTGGGGCGAAAGAGTGCATACGGTCAATGTTCGTGAAGGTGAGACCGCTCGCACTGAAGGAACCAAACGCGCAGTGTATGCGCCTCGGCGTCCCCAAACAACCTTCAATCGTATCTTACTTTGGAATAATAGCTAGAGAGTTGGAGGTGGAATAGTTTTTGTGGTGGTTGCACAAAGGTATCTGCAGTAGGCTCGTGCGTCTGTTACAGACGAACGGGGGGCGGTCCATCATCAC